GGTCAGCTTAGTTATAGGAACTGAATTTTTTATAAGTACTTTTTTAACACGTTTTTATTTACAAGCCATACTCGTTTGTGTTTTTTTACAAAGTTGATCTCCAATGTATGCAGTGGCGGATTTATCGTACAGGCAACATAGGCTAAAGCCTAGGGCGGCAGAATTAAGGGGCGGCAAAATTTAAGACAGCTAAATTAAAAGAAAAAAATTTATTTGTATTCAGCTGCACTTGAAATTGTGTTTGTGTCTGTAAAATATTATTAATGATTCATCTCATTCAATACAATTCAAAATTAGAATTACGCTGCGAATTTTTCCTTAGTATAGCAGTCGTTGAAATTTCCATTTAACTTTCATTCACGCGGCTTAGAAAGCTGACGGCGCGCCTGCGCGTGACGCAAAGAAACAGCCGACACGCTGCCCCGAGAACGAGAATCATCTAAAAGGTTACCACACTTGACAACACTGCCGAAAAACGAGCGTGCATTTTCGAGACACCCGCGAAGAATTCGATCAATATGAAGAGAAAGCTCTCTCTATTTCTACAATTCAGGAATACAAAACACTCAGGCAGCGTCGAAGGAATCAGAATCTACAACCTGGTGAAAATAGGGACAATAGTATCCAATTGAGTGGCCGAGACAACTTTCGTGTCAACACATTCAACGTTATCTTGGACCGTACTTTGACAGAATTGACACGGAGACGTGAGGCGTATCAAAAAATCTATTCGAAATTATCTCTCATCACTGATATGAAACATCTGAGCAACGAAGAATTACGTGAAAAATCCATCATATTGAGCCAATACTACACCCAAGATCTTGAGGAAAATTTGGGAAATGAAATGGTCTTTTTCAAGGCATACTGCACCGAAAAGCAGATTTTAAATTATTCTCCTCTGGAACTGTTGAAAATGCTGAGACAGGATAATCTGCAGATCTCTTACCCTAATGTTGAAATTGCGTTGCGGATGTTTGTTTCAATTCCTATTTCCAATTGTAGCGCAGAAAGATCGTTTTCTGTTTTAAAACGCGTGAAAAACTATCTCAGATCTTCATTGAGCGAAAACAAACTTAATGCTCTTGCGTTGCTGACTATAGAGTCAGATTTGTTTCTATCTATCGATTGTGAAGATATTATCCGCGAATTCGCAGCTGAAAAATCAAGACGTAAAGAACTGTGAAAAAGAAGTGTTTGAAAGAGGGTTTTTGTTGAATACCTTATCCATGCTGATGTCGAATTTGTTAATTCCGTTATGTATTTCATTATTAACGAACTATATTGTAATAAAGCACTGACAATAACAATCATATTTGATATATATATATATATTTTTTTTTTTCGTGAAAAAAGGGCGGCAAGTTATGAATTGCCTAGGGGCGGCAAATATTTAAATCCGCCACTGAATGTATGTATATATGTACATTAGGGTGGTCCAAAAATACACGTGAAAAAGCAAAGTCGGAGTTTTTATGCTCTCACCCCCTAGGATTGTTCTATACCGAAAAAAATATACCCCTATTTTTTTATTTTAAAATCAAAAAATATTTAGAGGTCGCTCGAAGCTCCCAAAGTTTTCCCTGTATTTTGTATAGGGAAAAAAACACTTTTTGTAGAAATGGTATAGAATTTCTAAAAATCAATATTTTTCTATCGGATAACTCTGTTTCTCTGCAGCAGATTCCCAATAATATACTCAATTGTTTATTTAACCAAATTGCCGTCAAAAACCAATAAAAAACTTTAAAAATTCAATGGGCGAACAATAAAGAATCGTTAATACTAAAAAATGGTTAAATAAACAATTGGGTATTATTATTTAAAGACTCCTGAAGATAACCAGAGTTCTCCGATCGAAAAATATTGATTTTCAAGAATTCCATACCATTTAACCTGCAAGAAAAAACTGAAATAACCAGATTTATCAAGAGTTTAAAATACTTTTTTTAAGTTTTCCAGCATTTTAAAACCACACAAAATTGAAAATAAAGAAATGAGATTGTTCAAAATTGGTGAAAATGAGAATGCGTGCGTGAGAGTCTGTTTTACTTTTTAAAATTGCTCAATAAAAAATTTTAAAAATCTTTCCGTGCAAATATGTATGTACATCGAATGATTCTTAAATCTGAAATGTTTGTGCAAATTTTCAGATCCAGAACCTTAGTTTGAAAGTAAATTGTCTCTGTACGATTATATATTGATATATATACATATAGATTTATAATACAAATAGAACCATATTTGCCTCAGAAAACTACATCCAAATAAACCATGTAATATTTATATCAGGGGTCGGCAAAAATGAAACTGTGACTGCGTTGGTGAGAGCGCGATTAGATTACAGACAAGCGTTCGTCGCTTGAATTGAATGAAAGAATGTATGTATGTTTGTTGGTTAATACGCAAGCAGTTTATATAAATATTATAACCTGCCACATATTGACAAATTTCACTTTTTATTTTAATTTAATTTAATTTTGTACTTTTTATACTTTTCGCACATCCTTATTTTACGAAATATATGTATGGACAGAGTATAGCCAACTTCGATGTTGCTTCGTTGCTTGCACATATGGGCATGTGTACAGAGGCAATAGCAACAATTTTGTTTTGATCAGATCTACCGCTGTATCACATTCGCACGAAAATAGCAATGCTTTGCTCGATATGAAACAAAAACAGGGACGAAAGCGAATAAATGGAACATAACAATGCTCAAATAAAAATAAAGCGCACAGCGCTGCAGCGACAAGAATGATAGAATACAAGATTGCACCGTCCTGGGCGTTGACATTTGTGTACCACAAATAACAAAGAATAGAGCGAAAAGAAGAACGAGTTGAAACTGCCAAAGCAGTTCACTTTACAGCGAAAAACTTGTTTAAATTTTGCTTAATGCGAAAATATTGCATTTTTCACCTAATCTATTAGAGAACAGTGAACATTTTAGTGCACTCCATTGCTTTGCAATTGAGGCTGCTGCAGCAAACGTTTTAGTGTACTCCATTGCTTTGCAATTAAGGCTGCTGTAGTTTTCTGCAATCTCTGCGGGATTGATTAGTTAACTTGCTAATGGAGGCTGCGTGGAGCAGAAACAAAATCATTGTGAGGAAATGCTTATAATATAATAATAAAGAAACATTTCGGGAACGGCTTTGCCGTGCCCTATGTACACAAAATGCAGCGATTCGTCCCAGCACTACACTTGCATCTACGCTTCTTGCATCTTGACGGCTGTCGCAAATTAACACACAGCACTTCATTGTATTAGTCTTCAACTCAAAAATCACTCACAAATTGCAAATTAACACAATTTAAACTGATTTTTCACTTATAATTCAAATTTCTCTTTCGCTGGTTTGTAAACAAAGGTTTATTTACAAGTTACCACAACTGTCAAAATCGGCAAAACCAAAGTAGCGGTACCACTGACGGCGCCACCTTTGTTCGCTGCACCGTGCTGCAGCGATGTTGTTGTTGATACTGTGTATGAATGTATGGATACATGGGCGTCGCCAGGATCGAATTTAGGGGGGTAGGCCGACATATAAAAAAATCCCAAAATTTTCATCTTTACACATCCATGTTTCTGGCATGCGGGGGACGATATGTACTTGCCAATTTGTTTTATGAGGTGGGTTTTGTCAAAGGCTGAGGTGAACTCAGCCGATCCAGAGTCCGGCGGAGGTCCCACTAACCCCCACCAAATAAAACACACTATTTTAGTGTATTTACTTCGAACACACACACACACACGGCGCTACGACTAGAGTGCTAGCAACCTTATGTCCAAAGAGAGGGAGAGCGAGAGAGAGGTGACGTTCGTTGTGGTCGGGTCGGAGCGGATGATGGCGAGAGCGCTAGCAGCACGGCGGTTGCCTCTCGGGAGTAGCGCAGCAACGGTGAGATCGCTAGCGGCACGGCGGGTGGCTCTCGGCAACAGCGAGGCAACGCTTGAGCAACGGTGAGAGCGCTAGCAGCAGCGGAGCAACGGTTTAGCAGCGGCGGCGGCACAGCGGGTGAATGATATGCGGCAGCGGGTGACTTCTAACAGCAACTGGCCCTCGGCAACCGGTGGAGCGAAACGACCTAGCAAGACTAGCAAGACTCACTCCAGGCACTGCCATTCCCCTAGTCGCTCTCTACAAAAGTAGGGGCTGGAACGGGTCGGCAGTGTCGGAGGCTCAACCAGCCGGCGACCAATTAGGATACCTAAAAGGCGTGCAATCCTGGTCTCCGGCGGGTTGAGTCGTACTTGGTTTTGGCTTGGCCAATCGGTGACACATTGGCGCGCCCGCAGGCACACCAGCTGATCGACCGATTGGTTACGCCGAGCTTGGCTTGGCTGGCCGGCAAGACATTAGCGCGCAAGAACGCCACCCTGCTCATCGACCAGTCAAGTCAGCTACTCACCTAGCAAGACTGACCTGACTGCGCACTTGTTAAGCCTTTTATACCTGTTGCGCTGCATGCTTGTTGAGAATTCGTCGTGTGCCGTCCCGATTTATGCAGTGTGGTGAGCGAAGTTGTTGGTGAGTTATTCGGGCATGCTGCTGGTGTGCTGCTAGCAGTGCTTCACTTGGTGTAGTGTGTATGTACAATGGTGTGTCGCTGTATGTATGTCTGTATTTACATGTACGGTGGAGTATGTATGTACAATGTTGTATGTATGTGCGGTGCAGTATGTATGTACAATATTGTATATATGTACGATGCTGTATGTTATTGTATCGTAGCGGATATGCTACGTTACAGTCCCCCTCCCACTTCGGGGGACGGAAGGTTGCGGCGTTCTAGAGCTACGGTGGCTCAGCCGGTGTGTGTGCGTCCCGTTTGTGTTGTTACTTTATTTAAAAAGAGAATTTTACATGGCATGCTATTACTAAGCTATCTATATGTGTATTTATATGTGTACATGTATATGAATAAGTATATATATAAAAACGATTGAAAACTTATTATTATTATTCTTTTACAGAAGTTCCTATTATACTTTCTTATTTCGCTTTTACGTACGGATACAAGTATACACTAATTACAATACTTTTATGCAAACGGAATTAAATAATTACAAACTTAAACAGGTTTTTGAAAAAGCAAAACAAAAGCTAAATAAGGTCTCTCGGTTGAGGACGGCGGGGTGTGTTCCTGGGCGGCTCACTTGGTCGGTGTTTGGCGCTATGTCTTCGTTTTCGGGCTCTTCGCTGGCATCT